CGCAGCCCCCCTCGACCTCCCCCAGTGCTCCCAACAGCCCCCCCAGTGCCCTCCACAGCCCTCCCGGACCCCTCCAGTTGCCCTCATTGCCCTCACCGTGTAGTTGGGGCCGTGCCGCGCCCCCAGGAGCTTTGCCAGGTGCCGCAGGTGCTTCCCGGGACCCCCCTCGCCGCTCCCCGGGACCCCCACGCTCAGGATCCGCTCGGTCACGAACGTCAGGTCCAGGGGGGGGAACGGGGAGACCTCGGGGCTGGGGGTGCGAGGAGTCCTGGGGGGAAGGAGGGACTGAGAACTGGGGGCGGCACCCCCAGAATCGAATGGAGAGAATTTGACCCTCCGGGACTCTCTCAGCACTCTAACGCCCCCCCTCAAGCCCCCAACCCTCCCCGAGATCCCCCAGCACCCCAAAACCTCTTGGGATCTCCCCCAAATTCCTCCCCCCGCCCACATCCCTGAGATCCCCCAGCACCTCCAAACCCCCTGTACCTGGGCAGGGTGCTCCGCTGGGGGACGCTGTCCAGCGAGGAGCCCTGGGGGGTCGCGGGGGTGCCCCAAAAACGAGGAGGGGGCAAAATGGGGTCGGGAGGACCCAAAATATAGGCCGAGTTAAGGGGTGTCCCCAAACACGGGGGTTGGGCGTTCATGTGGGACCAAGACGGGGGAGCAAAGGAGGGGGTCAGGGTAGTCCCCAAAGGGTGGGGTCGAGGGAATCAAGGGGGTTTGGGGGAGACAGGGGGTGTCCCCATAACAAGGCCGTGGGGTCAAGGGTCAGGGAGGGCTCCAAAATGTGAGGAGGGTTGGGAGGGGCAAGGGAGGGACCAAGGGGGGTGTCAGAGGGGTCCCCAAAACACAGCAGAGTCACGGCGGTGTCAGGGGTGTCGGGGGAGGTCGAGGGGTCCCCAACACCTGCAGAGGGTCAGGGGGGTTTTTGGACTCCAGCAGAGGGGTTTAGGGGGTTCCCGGGAGGAGGGCTGGGGATACCGGGGGGAGGTTAGGGGTCACGGGCCGGTCAGGGAGTCGAGGGGGTTTTGGGGGTTCCGGGGGGTTCGGGGTTCTCACCACGCGCTCACTACGCCGCACCGGGGCCGTGTTCCGCCTCTGGAGGGGCACAGCGAGGTCTGGGGGAGCCCGACCACCGGGGAGGAGGCAGGGCCCTGCCCGGGAGGGTTTTGGGGTCCCGAGGGGGACTTGGGCAGTTCAGGGTCCAGGGCGCCGGATTCTGACAAGGGTGTTTGGGGCTCCCGAGGGAGAATCCCATCTCCTGCTTGGGGGGGTTTGGGGGGGTTTTACCCCTTCCGTGGGGTCCCTGATCCTGCCCGGAGAGTTTGGGGGTCCCGAGGGGAGTTCAGGGGGTCCTGCCTGGGGATGCTTCGGGGGTTTCAGATCGTGCCTGAGGGGTTTGGGGGTCTCGAGGGGGGTTTGAGGGGTCTAGGTTCCTGCCCGGGGGGTTTGGGGAGGCTGCGACCTCCCACACTCACCAGCTCAGGCGGAGGCAGAGGTTGGCACGGTGACGTCACCTGAATGAGGACACAGGGGTCATCCCAAATGGGACCCCAGCCCCAAATGGGCCCTCCGCCCTCGGCTGACGCCCCCGCCTCCCGTCGTACCTTGCTCTCACATCTCTTGTGGGCGGCGACTTTGCAAACTGGAGAGGGACAACGGAGACATCAGCACCCCCCAGGGCCCCCCCAGGGACCCCAGTACTCCCTCGCCAGTATCCTCCCGCTGCCCCCAGTAACCTCCCGGTATCCCCAATAACCCCTCACTTCCTCCAGTAAATACTCCAGTAAACTCCTCAACGCCCCCAGTAAACATCCAAGTAAACCCCCAATGCTCCCAGTAACCTCCCAGTGCCCTCCCAGCGTCCCCAGTAACTTCCCAGTACCCCTCCACTGGCCCCAGTAACCTTCCAGTCCCGACCCCACTGTCCCCATTATCCCCCCCACCCCATTCCCCCGTCCAGCCCCCGCAGCGTGTCCCGGGGGTGTCACCTCTGCACACGAGCCCGTGGGGTCCCAGGGCGGTCCCGCAGCCCGCACAGGCTCCCCCCCGGTGCAGGCTCCGCTCTCGGAACGTGTGGGAGGCGGGTGCTGACGGCCGCGGCTGGGGGGACACGGGGAGGGGGGGGGTCACCGCATGTTCCCCGTGTCCCCCCCGTGTCCCCCCCGTGTCACTCCCATGACTTCGCGCGTCACTGCTGTGTCACCCCTATGACGCCCCCGTGTCCCATCCGTGTCCCTCCCATATTGTCCCCGACGTCACCTGCCATGTCCCCCGTGTCACCCTCTGTGTCTCTTTTGTTCACGTCCCGCGCTCTCCCCGGGTCCCCTCGGTGATCTCTCCCCCGTGTGCCGCCCCCTGTCCCTCCCAATTGCCATCGTGTCACCTCCGTGTCCCCTCATGCCGCCCCACTGCATACCCCCCGTCCTCCTCTGGCCCACTCACGTGTCCCCAGACTGTCACCCCCTTGTCCCCTCGGTGTCACTCGTGTTCCTCCTTGTGCCCCCCCGGTTCTCTCCATGACTTCTCACAGAGCTCTCCGTGTCTTCCCCGACTCTCCCTTCGTGTCCCGCCCGAGACCTCTTGTGTCCCCTCCTTGCCACCCGTGTTCCCTCCAGGACGCCACACGTGTCCCCGCATGTGTCCGTATCATGTCGCCCTCTTGTCACCCCCAGTGTTCCCCATGTCCCTCCCCCGTCCTTTCCTGCGTCCCTTGTATCCCTTCCCGGGTCTCACTCGTGTCCCCTCATGTTGTCCTTGCGTCACCTCCCTGTTCCCCTCATGTCACCCCCAATGCCACCCCCGTGTCTCCCAAGTAACGCCGCCCATGTCCTTCGTGTCCCCCCGACTCCCTCCGCTTATCCCTCCCGTGATTCCTTCTCACTCCCGCGTCAACCCCACTCTCTCTCCCGTGTCCCCCCGTGTCCCCCCCGGGTCGCTCATGTCCCACCCGCGTCTCCCAGTGCCCCCTCGTCTCCCTCCCCGTGTTCCCCCCCGTGTCGTTCCGCGTGTCCCCCCCGTGTCACCCCTGGCCCCTCTGGCCCCCGGCCACGGACATCGAGTCCCGCAGGAAGCGGAGCAGGGACAAGCCCAGGAAATGTCCCCCCCTGGGACCACCCGCCGTTCCCACGGAGGGGGAGGGGCGTGGGAGTGTGTGCGGGGGGAGGGGGACAGCGGAGGGAGGAGCGGGGGGGGCGTGGGAAGGAGAGGAAGGGGCGTGGGAAAAAAGGGAAAAAGTGGGAAAATGGGGAAAAGGGAAAGTGGGGGCGAGGGGTGAGCGTGGGAAAATATAGGGGAAGGGGGGAGCGGAGGGAGGGTCAGACGCGACTTTCCACCCCCGGCCACCCAGCGTCACGCGTGGGAAGGGGGCGGCTGGAGCGGACCTCGGGGGAACCCCGCGGGGGCGCCACAGGGGGGGTCCCACCGCTTCTCCCCCCGCACCCAGCTCCCCTTTCCCGCACCCCACGAAGGGACCCCCACCCACACAGGGACCTCCCCCCGGTCCTACCGTGTCGGGGCCATCGCGGCGGCCGAGCGCGCGCAGCAGCGTCCCCATGGCCCCGGGGGGCTTCATGGAGGGGCTCCACGGGGGCCTCGGGGGGTCCCAGGCGCTCCCGCGGGAAGCTCGGGGCTCCCCGTGGGTCCCGCGAGCGGCTCCGTGGCCGAAGGCGCGCGGGGAGGGGCCGTTTCCGCGAGCCCGGAGCCGCTTCCCGTGCCGGGGGGGGGGACACGGACACGGGGGGGGACACGGGGGGGACGACACGGGAACGATACGTGTGGCCACGGGGAGGGGACACCGGGAGGATCATAGGGGAGACAAGGAGGGGACACGGGCGACGCACAGAGGAGACACAGGGGGCAGACACGGCGGGGGGACACGGCGGGGACACGGGCAGGGGACACCGGGAGGATCACAGGGGAGACAAGGAGAGGGACACAGGGAGGGCACGCACGGGGTGACATCTCCCCCTGCTGACGCTGCCTCAGTTTCCCCCTTTCTCCCTTCTAGGATCCCCCAAAATTCCCCCCGAGCCCCTCCGGGACCTTCCTGGCCCTGCCCCCGCCCTCTTCATCCTCCTCCTCCCACCGCCCCCCCCGTTAACCAGGGACTCCCAAGCTCGGGGGGAAAAGAGGGGTGTGACCCACCCCATGGGGACCCCTAAAGTCGAGGACAAGGGGGAGGCTGAGACTCCCCCATGGGATCCCCAAATTCGGTGGGAAAGGGGATGGATCCTCAGCCCCTGCAACCCCCAAACTCAGGGCAGGGGATGTAGGTTTGGAGGGGCTCCAGGGACCCCACACAAGCCCCGGATGGGCTCCCCGGGGGAGTGCAGGAACCCCAAGCCCCTGCCTCGGAATGCTCCTGTGGGGAGCTCGTTTCAAGGGGAGGAATTGGGGAGGGTGGAATGAGGGTACAGGGGGTTTTGGGAGGCGTTGGGGTGGCGCTTATTGAAGTGGGGGCATTTTGAGTTGCAGGGCGGGAGTTGGGGTTCAGGAGGGGAACTGGGGAGGGGCTTTTTGGGGTGCAGGAAGAGGATTTGGGTTTGAGGGTTTTGGGGTGTATAGAAGGGACTGGGGGGCCTGATCAGGCGCCCCTCCCAGTGGAAATTGTCAGGGTCCCCTTCTCCCAGCCCCTGGGGTCCTCGCAGTCCTTGGGGCCCTTCCCCCTGCCCTGCCCCGCCCCGGCCAGGACAAACCCCCCTTTGTAGGGCCAGAGCCGCAGCGGGGGGGGCCCGCATTCCAGCGGTCGGGGAGGCGGGTTCCAGCATTCCAGCGGTTGGGAAGAGCCAGGAAAGAGGAAGGGCCGGGGGGGGGGGGGCATCCAAGGGCTCAGTGCTATGCCCGCGCCCCCAATTAATTACCGTTAATCAGCAGGGGCAGAGGAGGAGGAGGGAAGCAGAAGAAGATCAGGATGAAGGTGAAGGAGGAACAATGAAAAAGGAGGAAGAGGATGAAGAAATTAGGGATGAGGAGGAAGGAGATGGAAGGAGGAAAGTGAAGGAGGAAGACGGAAAAATGGGAAGGACAGAGGGAAGAAGGAAAGAGTAGGAAGAATGAGGTGGAAGGAGGAAGGTAAAAGGGAAGAAGATGGAATGATGGAGGGAGGAGGAAGAAAAAAGGAAGAGAAAGGGGGAGGAGGAAGAGAGGATGGAAGGAGGAGGATGAAGAAGGAAAAACAGGAATAAAGAAGGAATAAAGAAGGATGGGGAAGGAGGAGTCAGTGGGACAAGGAAGAGGAAGGAGGAAGAATGGAATGACGAAAGAGGATGGAAGAAGGGAAAAGGAAGCCCTTCACCAGAGAGGAAGGCCAATGTTGGGACAGGAAATTCCCCCTGGGAGGCTTTGGGAACTGCCCCATCTCCCTTGGAGGGGGGTAGGAAAAGGGCAGAAGGATTTAGGGCTTTCTGGATGTTTTTAAGCTCATTTTATTGGAGAAAACAGAACAGCCCCCAACCTGGGGAAGAACCCCTAAACACCCCCCTAGGGACTCCAAAACTCCCCCAGGACCTCCCAAAACCTCTGGGAAAGTTCTTTTTACACTTTTACAGCCCACTCCAAATCCCAAAATCTCAGAATTATCTTGAGGCTCTGGGTTAGAAATCCAGGTTTTCCTGTGTAAAGGGTGGGGTTTGCATCCCAAAACCTGGGCAGGGGAACTGGGGGGACACCTGTGAGCAGGAGGATGATAAAGGTGCCCAGGCGAAAATCAACATTCCAGAGGGGAGGAAAATGGGGGGTGGAGGGGGACCCCAGACCTTGAAGGATTTGGGGGGGATTGGATGCCTCCCCATCCCTGTTTTGGAGGAGCTCCAGTGAGTGGGGTGGGAGGAAGGCCAGCTCTTCCTCACCCCTTATTCCATTGAAAACATGGAGGGGGGCTGCTTTTCCTTTGAGAAAACTCTGGGAGCACCCCTGCCCCACCGTGCTGATTCTGGGGTGATTCCCGTGCGTTCAGGGTGGGGTTTTTCGGGATTTAAGAAGCCGTAGCTGAGGGCATTGATGAGTTTTAGGCTTTATTTCCATCTCGCCTGGATCAAGGTTGGGATTTTTGGGAATCTCCGGAGGTTCCCGTGGCGGCTGAGGAGGAGGAGGAGGGGGAGGAAGCTTTTACTCAGCTCCTTCTTCATCATCACCTTCATCCTCCCCATCCATGGAGAGCGCGGCATATTTGCTGGCGTGGCTGAACTGCAGAGAAAACCAGGAAAAATTCCCAAAAATGGGATTTCAGGGGGATAAAGATCCCCAGGGGCTCACACATCCCAAAACCAGGGGTCACAGCCCCCCAGAAGGGGCCAGAGACATCCCAAATTGCTGGGGTGGTTAAGCTGAGAGGGCCAGGGGGGGTCATTATTGGAAAACAATTTCCCAAGCCCTCAAAAAAAACAAGATTTGAAGAGGATGAAGACACCCAGGGGGTCATTCACCCCAAAAAGGGGGGGGGTTATAGCACCCCCAAAAGGGGTCTCAGACTGCCCTTTTGTACCCCAGACTGCTGAACTGTGGGGGTGGGCAGAGGGAGGAGAGCAGTGAAGCAGAAAATTCCCAAAATACCTCAAAAAATGAGATGTGAGGGGTTGAAGACCCCTGGGAGTTCATTCATCCTAAAGAGGGGTCGCAGTCCCCCGGTTAAGTGGAGGCATGGGGGGTCAGTTATGGTGGAAATTCCCCAAAATCTCCCAAACCTGAGATTTGAGGGGGGTCCCTCCCTCCCCATTTTGAGTCCCCCTGAATCCTTACAGAGGGGGGGGTCTCCTCCAGTTTCTTTGGCTCGTGCTCCTTCCGGGGATCTCTCCTGCGGGGCAGAGGGCAGAGATCAATTCCTGGGGAAATTCCCAGTGCCTGGGGGGGCTTCCTGGTTCCTGAGGGGGGTCTGGGGGGGCCTCACCTCTCAGGGTCCCCCATTCCCACGGGGCCGCGGCTGCAGCTCCGGCCCTTGGAGGTGTTCTCCCGGCCCCCCTCTGGCTTCAGTTCGTCTGCTGGAAAAGAGTGAAGGGGGGTGTCACAGCCCTCAAAAGCCCCTGAGCCCCTCAAGCCCTCCTGAACCTCCCAGCAAGGCCTTGACATCCCTGGAATCCCCCCAACCCCCTTCAAAACCCCCACAAAATCCCTCAATCTCCCAGCTCCCCCAATACCAACCTCCCCCCGAGCCCCCCCAAAGCCACCTGAGCTCCCCCTAACACCCTCTGAGCCCCCCAAATGCTCCCAAAACTCCCCCAAATCTCCAAAACCATTCTCACCTCTCCTTTGGGGGGTCCTGGGGGGGCCTCCGTCATCTCCAGGGGGGGAGGGGCCGGGGGGGCCCCCACTGGGGAGGCAGAAAAGGGGGGAGGGGCATCAGGGGGGTCCCTGGAATGGCCCCATTCCTAGGAATGGTGGGATGGGGCACAGGAATGTTGGGATAGGGCCTGGGAATGTTGGGGTTGAGCACTGGAATATTACAATGGTACACAGGGAATTCCTCGGAATACGGGGTGGGGCACTGGAGTATCCCTGGGCCCTGGGAATATCAGGATGGAGCCCAGGAGCACACCCGAGACTGGTGGGAGGGAGCACAGGAAGGTTAGGATGGGCAGAAGAGCCTCCATGGGCTGCAAGAACGTTGGGATGTGCCACAGAACACTGGGCTGGGATACAGGAATATTGGGATGTGTGGCAGGAACACCCCTGGGCCACTGGGTGATGGATGGAATGGGGCACAGGAACATTGGGATGGGGCACAGGAACTCTGGGATGTGCTGCAGGAATACTGGGATGGGGCACAGGAACATCTCTGGGATACAGGAATATCGGGATGGAGCTTAGGAAAGCTGGGATGGGCAGCAGAAATGTTGGGATGCACTACAGGATCATCCCTGGCAATGTTGGGGTCCCCTTCTCCTGGCCCTTGGGGTCCTTCCCCAGGGAAAACCAGGGACCCACAGAATGCTCTGGGCTGGAAAAGCATCCCCCACAGGCCACTCCTTCCTGGGACACCCACCTGGTTGGGGAGGGTTGCTCTGAGTCGGAGCTCTGGGAATTGCCAGGGGGGTTCTGGCTGCTCCGCTTCATCCAGGCATTTTCCTTGGGAGGCGGCGCTGGCATCACCTTGGGCTTCTCCTCCCGGGATTTGGGGGGCGGTGAGGGAGGCTCCTCCTCTTTTCCTAGGGGCTCATTTTCCAGGGATTTCTCACTCTCCCTCCTCCGTGTGGCTGGGGGGACACAAATCTGTGTGGGAGCTGCTGGACACCCTGGGCTGGGATGCTCCGTCTGCCCCAGATCCCAACTCACTCCGGCCGGTGGGGCCAGAGCCCACAGACGTTCCTGAGGGTCCTGTAGGGCCGCTCTGGGAGGATTCGCTGCCTGTCCGGGATCGCTCCTGGTTCTCCTCACTCCGCCAGCTTGGATGCCTGGGATAGGGGGGGATATAGGATGAGAGGCCTGGGAAATGACTGCCCGATCCCACCTTTCCCATCCAATGAGCACCACCTCACATGAACCACTTACGAATGAAGGCATCATTCACACACATCCCACTTACTTTTCCATGGGGAGGGACCATTCCCTGTCCCTCCCAGCTCTCTGTGGGGATCAGCCCTGAATTTCCCGAGGAATCATCCATTCAATCCCACCTCTTTGTGGATATCATTCCCTGCCCATCCCCAC